TCTGGAACCGTGGATGGGGAAGTTGAACAAGCTCTTTGAGCCAGTTAAACTTGGTCCGTTTCTCGCTCTGCTCCAAACTGGTTTTTGTGGGGGCGTTTAACTGGCACTCGCGGCTGGCCTAACACGGGCATTCTCCGCTCCAGAGCGTTAGGTCTCGGCTGCGGCAGAGGTTCACCCCCCCGCAGCGAGCCAACGGCCTCTACTCCCATCCACGTTCGATTCCTCAGATTTGAGATAGTTTTCTGTCGAAGACGCAGTTGGCGGCCGCAATCCACACCGCTGATCATTAGCGAGGAGGTACTCAAGCTCAAGTGCCGTGAGGAACGAACCGCACTGCAAGCGTAAGTTGAGCCTCGCTAAAAACAAGCGGAATATTGCGGGGGCAGGGCACTTGCCGAGTCACTCGGCAAGTGATGCGATCTTTTCTTTCTGCTCTCGACGACGACCTCAAGATCGCAGCGGGCGCGACGACGGCATGCGCGTCCGGAAACTTTTTTGACCCACCCACCGTCCCTTCAACATGACCCGCCGTGGTAGACGTAGTCTACCTCAGTTTTGTATTAAACGCAGGCGCGGTATCCAAATGTAAACATGTAAACATTATATTTCACTTCCCTCTATCTTATCTATTACTAACTTAGTGGTGAATGCTGTGATAGAGCTGGTTTGTGCGGGGCGTTTAACTGGCACTCGCGGCTGGCCTAACACGGGCATTCTCCGCTCCAGAGCGTTAGGTCTCGGCTGCGGCAGAGGTTCACCCCCCCGCAGCGAGCCTGGCCTAACACGGGCATTCTCCGCTCCAGAGCGTTAGGTCTCGGCTGCGGCAGAGGTTCACCCCCCCGCAGCGAGCCAACGGCCTCTACTCCCATCCACGTTCGATTCCTCAGATTTGAGATAGTTTTCTGTCGAAGACGCAGTTGGCGGCCGCAATCCACACCGCTGATCATTAGCGAGGGGAAGAAATTTGACAGTGTTACGGCGGTCTTTGACGGTCCTTGTAAGTTTTTTCTTTAGATTGTCTCTAGATCCCGAAAGAAGTGGAAAATAATGTAAACAGGATGGGCAAGTTTTTATGACGTTCGGAATGTTGTAAAAATGAATCACAGACCGGGACAATTATTTGTCTCAGATCACGGAATGCTATGCACTGCATCCCAGCAGAGCATACAGTTCGGTTCAACCTGACTCAACTGCACCATCTTTGAATCCCGGAAGATTCCGTAATTCGCATTTTCTCCTCCATCTTTTTCTGTTCAGATCTTTCAGCTCCGAGTCCTTGAAGATCTTGGGTAAAAGCAGCAAGGAGAATTTGAGGAGTGTCCCGTTCTGCGGCGCATCAAGCACGTCACGGCCAAATCGAGTCAGGAGGACCGGCCCGAAGCGGCACTCATCGGCATCGGGGATCTCGGGGAAGTTGCATTTTCGAAGCAGAACTGTTATGACCGCCTTCCCAAACTTAGTCGAATTCCCGTCCCGCACCTAGTCGACTAATCTCATAGGGCACAATTCCTTCTCAATACAAGATGACGTGGACTCTGCTCGCCTGGTAATGGCAGCCATCGGGGCTCATCCCATCTACTTATACAAATGAAAGCGGTAACGTAAAGGCCCGTCAGCCAATCAGGTTATAAAGTCAACTGTCAAAAGGGAGGCTGTGCTATCGGCTTGATTGCTGGCTCGGACGGCAAGACCTTATGAATTTGCACGGCGGCCACTGACCTCAGACTGCTTTACCTTAGCCTTCCGAATTTGCGTGCCAGTCTTTTTTTGGTTGTTTGATGTCCTGAGGAAAAGAACATCTCAACTCTTCCATCAAGTCAAGTAAGTTACTTAGTACTTAGCTCCTCGCCATTGAGTGTGCACAGAGTCCAGACGGCGAAAAATCCTGGACAGTGGATAGCTCCCCAGTGTATTCTGATGTCTGCTTCACGGTGTGGCCTGGATTCGAAGCAATTTTAGGGAAGCGAATTCAACAGGCTGCACGGGGCTCAATAACTGCCCAGTGTATTCTGACGTCTGCTTCACTGTGTAGTACTTGCGTAGTCTGGATTCAGCAAGGATTCAGAGTAATTTTGAAGGAAGGGAATTCGACTGCACGGGGGACACGAGGAACCAACCGCAGGTTGGTGACGAGTGTCCCCCTGCTGCCAGCCGACATCGGATTGAAATTAGCTGCATAGAATTCTGACCGTAGCGGAGCACGGGTTGCTGCTAGTTCTAACATATATGGGACTCGTCTTACCCGTCTACGACCACATCCGGATGCTGGGAATCGAACCTTGCCGACCCGCTCAATTTGGGATCTGAAGAAGACGACAAGCGAGTTGAAGCGGGCATGTGCGCCTTCCCTCCGAATTTGAAACAATTCAACCTTTCCCCGTCCCACCGACGTGGTCCGCACCTTTTACTCATGATATTGCTGCTAACAAAGACGAAGCTCTCGCACGGGCGCAAAAGCGTATCCGCGAGCACCACCTCTGCCTCTACAGCGACGGCTCAGGCATCGATGGTCACATCGGTGCTGCCTGCATTACAGACGAACGCGACGACTCCTTCACACGCAGACTCCATCTCGGGTCCGACAACGAGCACACGGTATTCGAATCTGAGATTGTTGGCTCCACCCTCGCGCTGTCCTCTATCCCTTCCCTAACCCACCTTCGCCATATCTTCCTTGGCATCGACAGCCAGAGTGTCATCCGCGCACTAATTCATCCCAAACAACAACCTGGCCAATACCTCCTCATGGAATTCCACGCTGAGCTCTCACGACTTCGATCTCGCATTCCTAATCTTCGACTCCACATAGCCTGGGTCCCGGGTCACGTTGATTTCGCTCCTAATGAGCGCGTCGACGAGGAGGCGAAACAGGCTGCGCAGAATGCTGAGCCCCTCCTCCCTAACCTACCCACTCTCTTCCAAACCCCGCTACCTCGCAGTGCTGCTGCAACGAAGGCCTCATTTTGTGCCCGCACGTCCTCCCTCTGGACCGCTGCATGGCAGAAGTCCCCACGCTTCGAAAAATTCAAGAAACTCGATAAAACGGCGACCATCCATTCCCCTCATCGCACTCTCTCGTCGCAACTCCAGTTTGATTGTACAGCTCCGTACGGGGATGGTCGGGCTCAATGCGTGGCTCCACAAGATCCGCCGCGCCGAATCACCGTTATGCCTTGGTTATGCCAAACGTGCCAGCGACGCGAGGATGTCCCCCACTTCATTTTCTTTTGCTCCCGATTCTCACACCATCGCGTCTTACTCCACTCCGCACTCGGCCGCAAGGCCACTTCCCTCGGGTTCCTCCTCACCAACGAGAAGGGTATACGACACCTCCTTCGATACATCCATTCTACCAACCGCCTCCCCATTTACCGCGACATTGTACCCCCCGAACCCGATCATTAACTGCACTTCCATTTGATATCACCCATATCTACTTCCACTGTACTTCCTCAATACCTTGCTACTCTTCACACACTCCTCCACTCCCCCCCTTCCTCCCGATCTCGCTACATGACCATTTCTGATACGCATCGTATAACATATCCCGCAGACTAATCTTCTTACTTCCCCACAGTGTCGACTCATCGAGCGTCCGAGCACCGGCTCCGCTTCCTCGCGCGTTCGAGCTCTGCTCCGCGGTCCGCGCGTCCGAGCCCTGCTCCGCCCTCGTTGTCCATGCCCCGTAGATCCCCTCCCGCCCGAAGCTGCCCGCCCGCCCTGCCCATTCCCATGCGCCGTCCGACCCCCGGATAGCATACGGTCGTGTACACGCTGCACCGACCTGCACCTAGATTTTTAGTATATAGCACGTACCGTGTACCATAGCCACTTACAGTGGCTCGAGCACGTTAATTGACACCATCATCATCAACACATCCGAGGTCAAGTATTCCCTGATGTGGGTACTCGGGCTGCATGATGTAGGTGGACGGGACTCTGGTATATGCGTGATTGAGATTTGAACAATCGAACATGGTTGAAATCAGCAATTTTTGATTACATCCCTGGGTCTCGCCGTCTCTCCGATGGGACGGGGAGCGGAACCATATGGCAAAGATTCTATACTCCCACCAGGAATCTGAAACTAACTGTCGTCTGAATCGCCAGGACTGCCGAGCAAAAAACGAGCTATCAGTGGCATGTTCGGACACCCGTGACCCTTGGCAGACTGTACTCATCACGATTCTCCGCCACATCCCACTGTATATCCGTTTCGTCATAGTGCGGAGTTTGCCTCCCAGAAAACGCACATGACAACGTTCTTCGGCGTGGGTACTGGAGGATGTAGGTGTGTCAAACTCGGAATCTGTGTGATTGAGAAACTGACGTGGTTGAAGTTTACCATGTTTGACCTCGATGGAACGAGGAGCGTCGAAAATCATACTGGGAGAAGAGTCGAGACTCTCACAGAAACCGACTGTCTCATTGAGCCAGGAGCGCCGAAAAAAAAAAATGGGTCTCAATGCCAGTAATTGGATGCTGGGAGTCGAACCCGCTCAATCTGGAATTTAAGAGGGAGACGGCGGAATTGCCAGCGGATGTGCCGCGTACACCACATCCGATTCATTATTCGGTGTGGGCACTGGAGGGGTGCGTCAGCCTCGACATTTGCGTGATTGAAATTTGAACGATCGAACATGCGCAATGTCTGCGTCTGCGTCGATCCTCGTCAACGATGAGACGGGGAGCTGGCAAAAAAATGCAATACTCGCACCAGATACCACAACCAACTGAATGATGCAGGCCCAGGTGACGAGCAAAAACCGGCTATCGACATATCCCAAGCAGCCATGTTCGGAAGCGGGGAGTACCAGACCACTCAAATCGGAATATTAACAGTAATTACAAGCGGGTGTGCACCGTGCGCCATATCCGATTTCGTAGCCTGCACATCCGTGGGTATTTAAATTCGAGATCTTTTACGTTGCAGTCTCTCGTCGCATGTGCGGAGTTCACCTGACAAAAAAAAGCCCGCATCGTATGAACAGATCAACATATTCGGACGCTGGGAATCGAACCCAGACTACCCGCTTAACCCATGAGAAAAGGATGAAACGTATTGCGAGCGGGTGTGCGCCGTACACCACATCCGATGTATCTTCTGGTTTGGTTACCCAAAGATGTAGGATGAAATCCGAATTTCGCGTGATTGAGTTGAACGATTGAACATGGTTGAAACCCACGATCTGTGCGTCGTCTATCCTTGTCAATGATGAGACGGGGCGAGAGCGTATGGCAGAGGATTGAACATGCTCTTACCAAAAACCGGAAACGGAGTGGCTTCTGAATCAGGCCCAGGACGGACGAGCAAAAAAAACGGCTAAAATGGGCTTTATCAATTTGAATGCTAGGAGTCGAACCCAGACTACCCGCTCAATTGAAGCACATTCCGTGCAAGAGAGTGTGCGCCGTACACCACATCCGAGTTATTCTTCGGTGTGGGTACCGGAGGACGTGAGTGAGATTCCAAGTTAGTATACGCGTGATTGAGAAACTGAACAATCGAACGTGGTTGAAATCCGCAATGTCTGCGTCTATCCTTGGCAATGAGAGGTCGGGGAGTGAAATCGTATGGCAAAGGATTCAATACTCTTACCAGAAATCAGGCACGGAGGGGTCCTGCGACTCACGATCCAGGCCCCCAGCTGATGAACAAAAGCAAACGTCTCCGCAGTTCTATTCGAATGCTGGGAATCGAACCCACGGCCCGCTCAATTCGGAAGTGTCGAAAACAACTGATGAATTGAAGCGGGTGTGCGCCGTACACCACATCCGAGTTATTTTTCTGGAGCCGGTGTGGGTAGCGGAGGATGTTCCAGGTTTTAGGCGCGTCCAACTCGAATTTTGCGTGATTGAGAAACTGACGTGGTTGAAATCCGTGCTCTGCGTCGTCTATCCTCGTGATGGAACGGCGAGCGAGATTATACCGGGAAAGATTCGATACTCTTACCAGAAACTGGCTTCTGAATGATCATCCAGACCCGGGCTGACGAAAAAAAAGACCTTCAAACATTTCAAGTCCATTCGAATGCAGGGAGTCGAACCCAGACGGCCCGCTCAATTCGGAAGTCGAAGAAAACAACGGATGAATTGAAGCGAGTGTGCGCCGTACACCACATCCGAGTCAAATCCGAGTTACATATTCCCTGGGTCGAGTCCATTCAATTCGGTGCAGGACAGACCAATGATGGTGGGAGTAGCCCTGCCAGGCTTCGAGCCGTCTCCATCCGCGTTCACTTGGGCAACTTGAAGGGCCAGGTGTAGTGTGTACGGACTGTCGACCGCCTCGACACTCGGCTGCATCAACGAGGATTCGTCGAAAACAGCGTAAGACTCAGAAGACAACGGCAGGTTGACGGCAGGGAGGAAACGGTGCGGAGGATAGACGAAGCGACGGGACGAGATTCTTGACGGGGCGCTACGTCGGTGCGTCGGACGGGATCGGTTGCCAGACCCAGGAGGTGAGAGGAGATAAGGGACCGAAGGACTTGGTTCTTGAATCTTGGGTAAGTAAGCTCAAGTAAGGGTCAACTAAGCCGGGATTGCCGTGTAGGACGAACGAGGGACACCGTGACGGACCGGGACCGGGACGGGGAACGGGGATGGCGGGAAGAGCGGGCCCGGTTTCCTTTTTTGGCCAGCCCCAGCGTTGACCAGCGTCTTACTCTTACAGGGCTCTCGAGTCGGACCTACTCTCCACTCGCCGCTATCGCTCAATCATCGAGAATGTATACCCCTGAACCTTGAAACAAAGAGCAAAACCGACGGCGAAAAGTTCTTGGAGACGAGAGTGGGATGCCAGGCAGCCAGTGGACTGAGGGAAGGGAGGAAGAGGATGGGGGTGGCAGGGACGCTGAGCATATACGGTACGTGACCCTCGGTCGCTGTGTCCTGTGCGCTGACGCTGGCTCGCTGCAGCAGACGAATGCGCAGATATGAATTAATATTGCATCTGGGATTGCCTTTTTTTGGCGGCAGACACAGCACATCTGCAGCAGATTTCAATGTCTGCTACAGACCATTTCAGACCGACAGACCATTGCAGACACTGTTACGTTGCGTCAGACCTCGCCGTACGCGACGAATTGGATGGAGAATAGCCTCAGTCTAGTCGCGTACCGTCGGACCGTGACGGCGGTGTCTGCGCATACTATCCTCCGTCGGGGATGTCGAGCAAGCGATATCTGGCATCTCAGACTGTGTCTGGCGACGCACACCTTCCTCGCCCTCCGCCTTCCCTGCATGCCCGCCTTCCACTTCTGCCCTGCTTCCAAGTGCGTTCATATATCGTCTTTTTGCCTTGTCAGACTCTGGCGCCTCCGCCTGCCACCGCTCCTCCTCGCCCACGATCTCTGCCGAACACCCCCGACGATCCCTTCGTACAAGACGGCGGGGTATTCTCCCAATCAGTCCTCGCGCGTTGACGATTGATTGCGCACCCTCGCGCGTCCGAAGCGCACGAAAACCGCGCACGACACGGTAGCGTTACGACGAGAGCAGTCGGGACGGGGCCCGAGAGACGTAGACGTGCTCTGATCTGGTCGCTTGGGAGGTGTTGTCTCCACCCGCGCGCTCCCCACACCTTTACGCTGTTACATCCGTCCGCGGACGGGAGCGGGAGGATCGCCCACCGAAAATCAGCACCCGATCCAGTCTGAAGCCTGAAGCTTGACGCGTCGGGCCCCGTCCTCCCGACGGAGGCAGATCCCCATGCCTCGAATCACGTCGCAGTCTCCCGCGTACTCAAGAGGATCGATCACATCCCTGCCCCATCGAATATTAATGGTACTATCGCATCGCGGACCCATCGCCGTCCCTCTCACTTCTTCCTTCTACACTTCGTACCGACGTCTGCTTGAACGACGCCCCCATCGCGCCGCGCCGCCGTCCCCCTCACCGGCCCTGCTTGATAATGACACCCCCATCGCGGCCGGCGCGCAATCTCGCGTGGTGAGAGCAGCCCCCGCCGAGTATGGACGCTAGGACGCGACAAGGGAGGCCGGGCGCGCGGTGAAGAGGGTCAGGGTGTGGGGTGTGGTACGAAGCATCTCCCGCCCTACAGCCCGATTCGAGAGACAAGCCGTCGCGAAGGAGTGCGACGCGCCGCATCGAAGCAAGGGGACGCAGGGCGATAATATTTCCTCGATCCGCACCCGCCTGCAAGCCCCGCGCGCGCCGCGAGCCGATTTGGTCCCACCCTCCTCTAGCCCTGCCCTCGGGCATCGATATCGGATTGGGAACATGGTGGACGTACGTGTGTTGGACGAGCGTGCGGAGCGTTGCGCTGACGCCGATTTCGACTTCCAGGTGTACGCGGAGGTTGTAGGTGGAGGTAGTAAGTGGATGTGGAGGATATGGATGTGTGCATGGGGATGTGGATGTGCATGCGGGAAGTGGAGGTGGGGCTAGTCGGCGGGGATACGCGTGCGAAGCCTGCAAGACTGTCTGGCTCATCCCGCAACTTCATGTCCTCAAAACGCGTCCGTTGTCCTTCGTCACGAAACAGCGCCTACTCCGCTTCCAGCTGGTTGCTGGTCGGACATCGGGCACCGGGAACGAGATCGCGCTGAGCCGCATTAGCCCGCACCCGCAGTGCACGCTGGTATGTGTGATTGAGAAACTGAACGTGGTGAAATCAACCATTTCCAATGTGTATGTTCTCATGGGATTGATGGGGGAAATCATACGGGCAAGGATTTGATACTCTTACTTGCGACAAACTATGTCCAGGACTAGTTGACGCGCAAAAATGTATGTATGTTGTGGAGATTGATTCGGAAGCGGGGAGTCGAACCCAAGTTCCCCGTCAAACTACTGATCGGGCGGCGCATCAAGGCTATCTTGCGTCTGTTTGAGACAATTTTGTGGGCCCTGGGGAGGTGCAGATGAAAGCGGACGGTGAAGAAGACGTGTGGGAAAGTATACACGTGCCATCATTTGCCGCGTGGTACTTACTCAGCGTCGATCAGCTTCACCTTGGCTTCACCCCTGCTCAGCCCAGCGCTCATTTGCGCGCACCATCGTTCTCGATCCCATGGCACCACCAAGTGCAATGAAAAAGCTGAAATTCAAGGTCCATTTGGCATCTCCATATGGCACACATAGTGTCCGGAAAATACAAACACAGTTTTCCGCAACAATCCGCCCTGTCCTGTTGGAAAAAAACAACAATGCAGCGACCCACACGCAGGAAAACAACAATGCGTGTCATTCCGTGAATGAAAAAAACACATTGAAAGACACCGGCAAAAAAAAACCACAATGTCGCAATTTCCTCCAAAGAAAACACAATGTAGGTGTCATGGAGAAAACGACATTGCACCCTTAGTGGTGGAGTTCGAAACCATCCTTGATCATCCATCACTCAGCACTGCTCTCGGAACACCGGGCCCGATTTGACAGCGTCGATCTTTCGACATTTGTGACACATCATCTTCCTCATCCGCTACCGCCATGGACAACGCAGGCCACGACGAGACTCACCGCTTCTTTATGGAGTGCCACCAAATTTCCAATGAATCTCAATTTCTAGTAGACTCTCTTCCTAACGTCGAAACGGCTGCGGTGGAGCGAGCTTGCCGACAGCTCAATGCAATCCGTGTCATCCTAGTCGCCCTCAATGACCCCCACTCCACTCCCGAGGATCTGGAGCATCTCATAGCTTATATTGACAGCTTACTGTATCCACTCGACGACTTTCTGTCCCATCCACCTCTTCCTCCCCACACCCATATTCCTGTCGAGCAGACCGGCAAGCGTGGGCGTCCAGCATATAAACTGGATCTCGACAGAGCCATTCTGCTCCATGACCTTGGCAACACCTGGCGTGATATAGCCAAAGCGATGGGGATCTCGCGTTCTACGCTCTATGCTCATATGGGGGATCGTGGACTTTCCACCGCTAGAAAGGAATGGTCAGAGCTCACAGACGAGGAGTTGGACGAGATTGTCTCTGAAATCTCGTTGGCCCATCCTTTTGTTGGGACGACAATAGTCCTCGGCCATTTGGAAGCCCGTCAACTCCACTTACCACGCACCAGAGTTCAAGAGAGTTTACGAAGGGTTGATCGCATCGGAGTTCTCGTTCGGTACG